GGGAGCGGCGTCTCAGCGCAGTTTTAATTTGCGTTTCCCCGATGATTAATCGCCTCGAACATCTTTCCTTGTGCGGTAATTGCCGTCCGTGTATGTCCTTTGGTGAACTGACTTCAGACTTTTTGCCTGTTTCTTGTTGAGTTGTGTCCTCCTGACACCGAATTGTAAGAGTTCTTTGTATCTTCTGGGTACAATCCATGATCAGATTTAAGGTTACAAATTTTTTCTCCATTCTGTGGTCTGTGTTTAATTTTCTGAAGCATTTTTCAAAAAGCAGAAGCTTTAAATTCTGATCAATTTATCAAAAGTTTTTTTTTTTTTTTTTTTTTTTTTTTTTTTTTTTTTTTTTTTTTTTTTTTTACCATTCATGCCTTTTGCAACTTAGATAAGAAATCTCTACCACTCCCCAGGGCACAAAGATTTTCTCTTCTGTTTTCCTCAGATGTTTCATGGTTTGGGCACTCGCATTAAATCTATAATTCATTCTGAGTTATCTTTTTGTTTGTAGCAGGAGGTCAAAGTAAGGATCAACTTCCTTTTTTTTTTTTAATGTTTATTTACTTTTGAGAGAGACAGGGACAGAATGTGAGTGGGTTGGGGCAGAGAGAGAGAGAGGGAGGCACAGAATCAGAAGCAGGCTCCAGGCTCCGAGCTGTCAACACAGAGCCTGACGTGGGGCTCGAACTCACGGACCGTGAGATTATGACCTGAGTCGAAGTCGGACGCTCCACCGACTGAGCCACTCAGGTGCCCCAGGAGACACAGAATCCGAACCAGGCTCCAGGCTCCAGGCTGTCAGCACAGAGCCCAACGCGGGGCTCAAACTCACGAACCTGGAGATCATGACCTGAGCTGAAGTCGGACACTCAACTGACTGAGCCACCTAGGTGCCCCAGCATCAAGTTCTTATGCATGAACATCCAGTTGTTCCAATACCATTTATTGCCAAGATTGCGTTTTCCCTATTGAATCAGTCGTCCGTTGACGTGCGGACGTCCGTTGACGTGCAGTCTATTTCTGGACTCCATTCTCTTCCATTGATTAGTGTGTCCGTCCTGTTACCAACAGGATGCTGTCACGACACCTGTAGCTTCGTAGGAAGTCTTGCAATCAGATAGTATGAATCCTACGATTCTGTCCTCTTTTTCAAAACTGCTTTGGCTCTTCTAAATCCCTTGGATTTCTATATAAATTTTGGAATCGGCTTGTTGGTTTCTTCAGGAGTCCTGCCACAATTTTGATTTGGATTGTGTTGTATCTGTAGATCAATTTGGAGAGAACTGACACCCTAATATTGAGCTGTCTAATCCTGAACCCGATACAACTCTCCTTTCATTTAGATCTTCCTTTCTGTCAGCAACGTCGTATAGTTTTCAGTATGGAAATCTCGTGTCGATTTCGAAGATGTAGTCGTAAGTATTTTATTTCATGTTTTTGATGTCATTGTGATTTTTTTTCCAGTTTCAATGGCCAAATGTTCCAAATATTGCTAGGGCAGAGAATTACAACTGATCTGTGTATGTTAATCCTCATCAGCGGTTTTTTTGTTTTGTTTTGTTTTTTACATATTATATATTTCATCTACAGAACATTGATTTGGGTCTTTTTTGTATCTTTTGTCATTTTCTCCACTGTATTTATGCTTTCCTCTACTTTCCTGAGCATTTGAAGTGTATTTGTACTAGCTACAGAGCAGTTTTTTCTATCATCTCTGTTATTTTTCTGTTTGTTCATATAGATTATGGGTCATATTTTCCTGTTTCCTCAAATGTCCGCATTATAGTCCGTTAGTGGCTGTGACAGGTTACCTCAGGGTGGCTTGAACAGCGTACATTTATTGCTACAGTCGGGGAGGCTAGGAAGTCCAAGGTTCAGGTGCTAGCAGGCCCATGTCTAGGGAGGACCCCCTCCTGGTTCAGTCTTCTTGTCGCCTTCACGTGGCGGAGAGCAGACAGAGAGCAAGAAGGCTGTCCCGTGTCTCTTCTTCTGGGAACACTAATCCCACACGAGGGGAGGCCCCACCTATAAATGCCACCACCTTGGGATTAGGCTTTAGCGTCTTTCAGGGAGACACAGACATTCGGCCTACGGTGGTCTAGAGATTTTTGTTTGGATGCCTGACATGAACTTCACATGGTCGAAGGCTGGATTTTGTCACAGGTTTTTGTTCTGGAATGTAGTTATATTACTGGAATCACATGGATCACATCCGAGACTTTCTTTTGCTATGGCAGGATCAGAGCAGCGTTTAAGGTAGGTTCATTTGAGTGGCATTCGTCCTAACACGGTATTGTTCTGAGGATGCTGTCCCATGATCCGGGACTAAGAAGGTGCTGCTACTCTTCCTGCGGGAGAGAACCATTCCTAGCCTGCGAGGATTCCGAGGATTTCTCTGTCTCTCCTTTCTGGGATCAGTCTTGCCTTGCTTCCTCTCCAGGACACGTCTCTGCCGCTGTCCTTATTTTTCTGTGTGTGGCTCCCTCCTCCCCCATATTTTGTCTTGCAAAGCATAGCTGCCTTGGCCTCCCAGGACTCCGATCCCTGTGTCCTCGGTGGGGTGGCCATGCCCGGGTCAGGTAGCCCCCACGCCCTGCACTTGGAAACTGCTTCTGTGTAAGTTGGGGCTTCACAGAGCTCGGGGCCATAGCACTCTCTGCCTGCTCTCTTCTCGTCAGGGACCATAACCCTGTGACACCAATGTCTGAAAACTGTTATTGGACATACTGTACAGGGTTTTCTGGTTGTTGAATGCCGTAGGGTGCATTCGGTTTCTGTTAATCCCTCCTGGCTGGAACCGTCAATCTTGTAGTCATGTTGGATTGATATGGTTCACCTGATGATCTGATTGCTATATCCACCCTCTCCTATTCTTTCACACACAAAGGCTTTACTTTCTGGTTCTTCTGCACGCCCTAAAGCCCCGAGAATGTATGCTGGAGGTGACTGCAGATGTGCACAGGTGACCCACGCCTCCCCCTAGTGGCACATCCAGGGCAGTGGCTGGGAGGCAGCAAAGACTCCCCAAGTGACAGCTCCAGGCATCAGGGAAGGAACGGGCTGGGGGCCGCCCCATCCATGACTGTGGAAGCAGCACGATGAGAAACCAGCGATATGACAAGTAGGCTCAGAAAATCCTTCAGGGCGAGGGCGAGTTTTGTGTTATCCTGACTTCCTCCCAGAATGTCAGGTATGGGTACTGACTGTGTAGGTGATAGATTCCCTGCCGGTGCACCTGGGGCGGGGGGGGGGGGGGGGGGGGG